TAGCTTCGTAATCCTTTTCAACGAAAATATTTGTTGAGGAATTTTTTACTAAATTGGTTCTATGTAGTGATGCTTTGCGGTGGACAAGTGTCTAACCACTCCATTCCTGAGTCTCTCAAGGTGTATTGGAATAGCCTCGATCTGATAGCTTCACTTGACAGCCCTGGATACTCAATAGTTGTACATATGTTTAGAAATCTTGATATATGAGCGTTGGGATTCTCTATAGCTCTTCCAAAGAATTATAGAGCATTTTGGAACATGTTGATAATATACGTCCTCGGGTGGAAGTTTGTCTAACATATAATACTGGATTAGTTTTCCACGACCGGTGGAACCATATATTCACCCATGAGGCTTGCATTTCATTAGCTGCATCTACATTTAGTTGTGCAACTTGTTTGCCATTTCTTCTTCTCTTTGTTTTTGTGTGTTTCCAACTATTATCTTCTCCGAATGTTGAATGTTCATATGATTTTTGGGTCAAATTGATTAAGATCACCGATTCTCGAACTTTGTATACAAGCTCCTGAAAAATGAAGCAAGAAACACTGTAAAATTTTTCTAATATAATAAACTAAACTAAAGAAAGAAAAGTAAAATTCAGATTAAAGTTAAAATTATCTAAAACTTATCAAAAACTATAGTATTCGGCAACGATGCCAAAATTTGATTGTTTGATTTTTCGCAAGTGGACAGAATTGTGAACAAGTAATAAAATAGTGAATAGAGTGTCAAATCTATGAAAACTATGTATTCGATTGAGTTCAAATCAATAGCATCCTTAATCGAGTAGCAAACATATTTTGAGTTTTCTATACTAATATCTAAATTATTAATTAAAGTAGAAAGTGATTTAATGGGTATCTTCAAATATGTGAAAGTATTGTTAAGATGTCGAATTCCCCTTATTATTCTATTTTTAGTGTAACAATTAAAGTGATAATTTAAAGTCATTATTATTGGACAATGTTCCTAATTTCATTGAAAGCCTCTCTCTATATGTAAGAGACATAGGAGATGTCTCTTTATAGTGTTCTGCTGTTGAGTATTTGTAGGAGTTGAAAATTAGTTGAAAATCACGTCCAAATTGATTTCCAAAAGAGTTCCAATCAAATAAGAAGATTTACCTTCGCGCGCAGATTTTTTTGTCTTTGCACAACAATTAGTATTTTGGTTATAACTTTCTCTTCTGATTTCCGATTGAAGTGATTTAAAGTGTGTTGAAAAGATAACTCAAAAGGTTACAATTTTTCTAGAGGTAGAATTTTTGCAATCCGGACTTTTACTATGCCAAACACTGGTCTTAATTTTCAACTAAAAATCTGACATATATCTTGTATAATTTGAAGTCGATTTATAGTAATATTCCGATCATATTCCATTCACTTTTAACCTTTAATTTTATCCAATTGACTCCTAGCCATCTAAAAGTAGTATTGTCTTGTGGTCTGAATTAACCATTGGATATTTGCAATTTTGTCATCAAACTTTGTACTTCGTCATTTTGCTATTTTTGGCTCATTTCTTTCAATTCAACTTCCAACCATCGAGTTTTTCCTAATAAACAAAATATAAAATAAATTAGGCTATAATTGCTCAAAAAACTATTAAATGTCAATATTTTTAAGTCTAAATAAGTTTATAAAATACACTTATCAATAGATTGTGAATTTAGGCAGTGTACCCATTTTATCCTATCAGTTATAATTAAGGGAGCAATTCAAAAATAAATTTAAAAAGGTTTATTAATTTCAAACACTTATAACTTTTTCATTTTCAAAATATAGTTTTTAATTTAACAATTATATATATATATATAATTTTTTTATTTCTTTTAACACAATGTATTTTATTGTTATACAACTTGTTTCTTCCACCACCGTTGCCGTCGCCACTAATGACAAATTGTCTTACATATTTAACAATCAATCTTCATGCCATCACCCCTACTACTTATAATAGACCTTTTTACTCTCATTGCTACAATAGTTGTTCCAACCACTAATAATAAACATTGTTATAGTCTATCACCGCCACAGCTTAACATTGATTATCATCTATAATTAATTGCGTAAATTCAGTTCGGCTCTGATAAGAATTAAAGTTGAGAATCAATTAGTTCTAGTCCGGTTCTCGATTAAAACATCCACATCCAGAAACTTTCTATAACCTGATTTACACATATACTAATTAGTTAGACTCGGTATTTTATTTTTTAATTGAAAATTTTTGTTTTTTAACTCTTCAAAATGGATGCAAATTTTAATTTCTTTATTATAGGTACAAATTCTAAATTTCTTGGTTCTGTAAGCTACCACTATGAGTTGTAACTATCTTTTGACGTAATCGTTTGTTTGTAGAAATCGAGATGGGCATTGTTACATGTACCCGAGCGTTTACACGCCCCTCACATGGGGGGCGGGTTCCACGCATTTATTGTGCGTGGACCCCGCCCCCAATGTGAGGGGCGGGTAATCGGTCTTGTAAACGCCCTGGTACAAACAGCATAATTCAATCGAGATTCATCTTACTCCTATGCCTAACTTTTAGTCTAATTTATAATAATTTTGACTCCAACTTTTTGCACTTTTTTATCCTTGTTAAATATTATGGCTTAAGATATTTAAAACTCCATTTCTATTGGTTACTAAATCTTAGAACTTTAAATTGAAGGAACCGAATCAATCAACAGGTCTATTTTGATTCCATTTCGTTATCTTTAAAATCAACGAAATTGGACTATGTCCATTCCTACTTTGGCAACTGAATCTCAAATAGTTGCGTTATCTTATTATAACTAATGTTGCCATCACAAAATCAAGAATCGACAAGCCAATTCTTGAACTTTCATTCATTCGGTGTTATTTAAATTTTGTCCTTTTATCTTGTGAACATCTTTCTAGAGCGTGCTTATACATGAATACAATTCTCCATTGGTTAAAATTGACCAAAGTGTGTTTCATTTTCAGTCATTTATTAACCAGCCATTCCGTGAGCTTTCTTATTGTTATTGTAATGGGCATCCATCATTTAAGTAATCTCTGGAACATGCTTATGCATACTTGGGGCAATTGTCTATTTCTTGAAATCGTATTCGTCCAGCAAGTTTTTAATCATTAAATTTCATTTGGTGACATTGAAATCAAATCGAGTCAAGTCGATTAGAGTGATTAAACACATAATTTTAACTCAATCAAGTTACAAATGAATCACCAAGGTATTTACTTCTGATATTATATTGGTAAAAACAAATTCATCCAACTCATGCTCGAATTTTGTTTACATTATTGAACTTTATATCATCCTGATCGAGTTACTAAACATATAGTTTTAATTTTCATCTACTTGATGCAGTAGGAGAAATGATACTGTTTAATTTTTAATTTTTATTGCCTTGATTTATCATTATTTTACACGTTTTATTTGTTTTTAAATTAGACTCTATTTTATTTTTTTATTTATTTATTTTTTGGGGTGAAGTAGGTTTTGATTTATGAGTTTTACTATTTAAGATCTCATTATAGCTTTATTGTTTCTCAGTGGTTTATTGAATAATTTTTTTCTACCATATTTCAACATTCCTTGAAATCAACAATTTTGTTGATAAAAAATCTATTCTCGATATTCATTATTGATCGTCAAGTATCCGATATTCTTATAAATGTTTTTTTGCTTCCGACTGTCATAACCCCTTCACTATCTTGTCCATATTTAAAAGAAATTAATGAAAGTACTAACAGACACTTCTATTGATCAATATATATATTTTTATCAACATTAACATAACACCCTGATTTGAAGCTTTAACCATTAAATTTTCACTCATTTTAAGTGAATGCAAGGCCGACTTTCAAACATCAGTAAAAACAATTATATTGATTACATCTCATATAAATGTTATTTGTAATTCATTCATCTCTCTTCGATCCTTTAACCTTGACTTTTCACATTTTTAAGGTAAGGCCGGCTTTTAAATATCGGTAAAACTAAAAAAAAAAAGTCTTGTGGAAAATTTTATGGTGATTAAGATTACAACCTTAAAATGTTGCAATAAGTTAATAGGTATATGTAACTGTCATTAAATTACCTAAAAATTATAGCTGACTCATCTATTATTAATCATTGTTTAAAGAAAAATGCTAAGTGACTTATACAGCCCTGTCACAAAAAGTGGGACTCATGATTAAAATAATATCGAGCTCCACCTCCTAGTGTGAGAGAGCTGTCATAATTGACGTCAAAGCAACTGTACCTGTAGCATGCTTCACAAATTAATTAAAGATAGGTAGTTAAATTATGCCCCTGTTTGATATACATTTTTTTTAAATGTATTTTTCTTTCTCTTCTTTTCAACCACACATTCTTTATTAAAATATTATACGTAAATTAAAAAAAATTCTTATTTTTCAACCACAAACTTCTCATCAAGTTACTATTTTAAAATGTATTTTTACATAAAAATGACAATCAAACACCCCCCTATATATAGAAAATTTTCTTAAAATCATTTTGGTCGGTGCTAATTAGAGCCTCACCCCAAAAAATTGATTTTTTTACTGTTATTCACTATATCAACCGTAATTTTTGACTTCTTCTTTCACAGGTGGACCCCACTTTTCTTTTAACGGTCAAAAATCAATTCTCAAAATTCCTTCCAAAGGGGGCCTTAGTCTATTTCCAACTCATGAAAAGACCACACCCCATTTGCAAACGAAATTATTAAAATTAGATTTTCAATAAATTTTTATAAAAATTGATGAAATATATAATTGAAAAGTTGTAAATTTTATGAAATATATGATGAAAATAAACTTTTATACTTTGACATAAATTAAAATATCTATTTTAATTGGAATCTGCTATAATGATAGTGCCAAATGACAGGCCCTGTCAACAGGCCGAGGTGGCTGTCCTTTGACAAGACCTGCTATAGTGACTCTAAATGGCAAAACCCATTTTAATTTTCGCAAAACGGGGCTATATAACCATAAGCGTATAAGAATTTCCTTCACACAAACCAAAGAAAATGTCTCTTCTTTCTTCTTACAATCCCAAACCACACGTGGTTCTGTTTCCATTCATGTCCAAAGGGCATACTATCCCCCTCCTCCAACTTGCTCGCCTCCTCCTCTGTCGCGGCTGCGCTTTAACCCTCTTCACAACCCCGGAAAATCGTCCGTACATCGTTCAATCTCTCTCCGGCGATGATATTACCATCATAGACCTTCCATTTCCGGGAAACATTCCCGGAATACCTCCTGGAATTGAGAGCACGGACAAACTCCCGTCCATGTCTCTCTTCTTCTCCTTTGCCAGAGCCACGAAACTCATGCAGCCCTATTTTGAAGGCGCGCTGCAAAAAATTCCTCACGTCACCTGTATCGTATCAGATCTGTTCCTCCATTGGACGGTGGAATCCGCCATAAAATTTGGCGTTCAACAGCTGGGATTCGATGGTATGAGCAACTACGTCAATTCAATTAACAGAGATGCAGTTATTAATGGATTACTGTCATTACACGAGTCCGCCGACGAACCTTTCACTCTCAGCAGCTTTCCATGGATTAAGCTCACCAGGAATGACTTTGACTACCCGTTTAATCAACGGCACCCGTCAGGTCCTCTATTCGACTTCATAATGGAGATGGGCATAGCCCTCTCCAAAAGCTATGGCCTACTGGTGAACAGTTTCTACGAGCTCGAGCCACTGTACGTAGAGTACTGGAACCGTGAGTCTAAAGCAAAAGCATTCTGTGTCGGGCCCTTGTGCATGGCCCGACCACCAAAAATGGAGCCGGTATTGCACCAGGAATGTAGATGGATTAAATGGCTGGATCAAAAACTGGCAAAGAAAAAACCAGTTCTGTACGTTGCATTCGGGTCCCAAGCAGAAATATCATCAACACAATTAACAGAAATCGCTCGTGGCCTGGAAGAATCGAAAGTGAGCTTCTTGTGGGTGGTGAGAAAGAGTGGAAGAGAATTAGGTGACGAATTTGAAGACAGGATAAAGGAAAGAGGAATCATAGTAAAAGAATGGGTTGATCAGAAACGGATTCTTGAACACGAAATCGTGCAGGGATTTCTGAGTCATTGCGGCTGGAACTCGGTTTTGGAGAGCATAAGCGCAGAAGTTCCGATACTGGCATGGCCAATGATGGCGGAGCAACCCCTGAATGCAAAAATGGTTGTGGAAGAGATTAAAATCGGGTTACGGGTCGAAACAGTTAATGGGTCGGGTAACAAATTTGTGCAGGCGGAGAGCTTCAAGAATAAAGTGAAAGAACTTATGGAAGGAGAAAAAGGAGAAGAGGTGAGGAAGAAGGTGAAGCAAGTGGCAGGGCCGGTCCTGTGATAATGGAGGCCCGAGGCGAGGTCCGTAAATTGGGCCTCCGGACGAAATCAACGTAAAAATTTACGTAAAAATCTAGTAACATTTTCAATTATGTACGCAAAAATTTGAGCATTACAAGTTTACGAAAACAATACAAAATTAAAATAACATCCGAAATCCAAAACTATCCCAAAAAAAAAAAAAAAAAAAAAAAAAAAAAAAAAAAAAAAATTGAAGCAAAATTGGGCCCCCTAAGGGTTTTGGGCCTGAGGCTAAGGCCTCAAATGCCTCAGCCCAGGACCGGCCCTGGCAAGTGGCCGAGGCAGCAAGGAACTCCATGATGGAGGGAGGCTCGTCTTGGCATACACTAAACCAACTCATTAAAGAGATTTATTTGCAAAATCAGCCAGAAAAATAAATAGAAGTTACTTTTAAATAAAATTTTGTTTTCATAAATAATCGAGTAATTTAATTTTGTTCATAGTTTGAGTGCAAGTAGTCACCTTGCTGCAAAATTATACCAGTGGAGAGTAATGGGAGTAAAGAAGTTGTGGCATGTTTGGACTAATTATAAAGTTGCTTTAAGAAGTATGTTTTTGCATTATGCTAAACGTACAGATTTCTTTCATAGAATGGTTTCGTAAATAATAACACATGGAAAAAAATCATCGACCAAAAAAAAAAAAAAAAAGAATGATGTGCTGCTGTGTAGGAAATCTGTAAAACTTTCCTCGTACGTAGGAATAATCCTTAATTCATATGGTCTACAAATAATCAGTTTGCTTTTATTTTGACTTGTGCCCACAAATTTTGAGGACATCGAACTGTCAAGAGGCTGAAACAATGGAGCCTAAACCGGCAATGTGGAAGGATTTCTTATTTGTAGTCAAATGATCTGCTCGATTAGTTCTTTAAGTTGTTTAGGTCCCTATTTGACCTCATTTTTTGAAATGAAAATAGCAAGAATAATGTCTTTTTGAAAAATGAGTGGTTGAAAAAGAGTGAAAAGTTCTTGATATACGCATAATATTATTTTATGAAAAATTGTGTGATTGAAAATAGAAGAGAAAAATGAAATGTAATTTAGCCCCCGTTTGATCCTCATTAATTTTCATTTCATTTCATTCCATTACATTGCATTTTATTTTTCTCTCTCCTATTTTCAACCGTACAATCTTCCATAAAATAATATTATACGTAAATCGAAAAACTTTCCTTCTATTTCAATTACTCATTTTCTTAAAAAAAAAAAAAATACTATTTCACATATTTTCATTTCAAAAAAATGGGGCCTAATGGGAGCTAAGAGAGTGAGTCGTGGTCAAACCGATTTGATACTTCAATTAATTATTGATAAGCACGCTTTATTGACTCAATTACTTGGTGCAATAATTCATCCACGCCTAGCAGAATGTATCCACACAAGAAGCTGGTGAGTCATTAAATGAGATATTTAACCCATCAATATCAAGAACGTGACACATGAGAAGGTCCTTCACGCTTTAGGGTCAAGGTTTCACATGGAAATTCCTTTCTAAAGAGGTGTCGGTTACGTACTGAAATAATTATTCTCCACTTAGGCCCCATGGCATGCCCAAGTATCGTTGAACATTCGTACCTCAATCATCGAGGTACAATTGAATGAAAACTACGTCGATGACTAAAACTCCATTAAGCAACAAAATGGGCAAAATCCTAAAACTCGGCTAGAAACATGTTGGAAGCTTCATCCAGCAAAAGGACATAATTTTTTCTGAATTTTCTCTCAACATGTGTGTAATCCAATCACTCGAAGATCCTTTATGTGACTTATATATATTTGTGTATTTCCATTATTTTATATATAAAGAGATTCCAATTGGGCAAAGGGGGACTTATCTTTTATAAAATTATATTTGTGACATTCAAGTTTTATGTTAAGTCTGAAAATTTGGATTTCAAATTAGAAGCCTCCCTCTTTAAATAAATTAAAAAATAACTAAAGGATTAATTATTATACGTTTGATAGTTATATTCACACCATATTTTAATTGCATTAAATTAACTTTTATGTATTATCACACGTGTATAATTATTTTCTTTCTACATCACATTCTTATTTATAACATTCCATTAATCAGAATATCTTGTTCTTTGTTATAAAACTAAATAGAAAGAAAGAAAATATAGAGAAATCAATAGATTTGTGCATATTATTAAGAACTAATACCCTATATTTATAGAATCCAAAATAAGAGTTACAATTGAAATGAAATAGATCTTCTAGATTAGATAAAACTTATCTATGTATCATGATGACATTAAATAATCATCAATAATTATCTCATTATTTTACAACTCTTCCCCTTTGATGATTATTTGTATAATAACTATCTCATTGAAACATGTTTGACAAAAAATAAAAAATAAAATAAAATCTGATGGGACAAAAATGCCAACAAATAAAAAAAGAGTACAAATAATTTGGAATAATAAATTGCTTTCTCTTTAAAATCTTGTCAATAAAATCCAATAAGACAAAACTTGATCGAAAGAAAAAGAGTACAAATACCCCCCTCCCCCGGATTTCAACTCTTGTATCAAGCTATTCATGTCTCGTACATCAATATCTTCAAAATTACAACTTCAGATGAAGCATGTCTCATGTTATCTTTCATAGTCTTCAAATAACACCTTCTTCATAAGAGATATTTATCATCCTTTAATAACTGTGATAACATGATGATTTGAAAATAGTTCTTGGTGATCTCGTCGAGCGTTTCACATAAGAGTATACTTCTTGAGGGTAAATGCCTTGTAGGTTAAGGATATCATTATACAAAAAATATGCCTCAATAAAACCTTATTAGGAAAAACCATGTGATAAAAATCCTAATGAATGAAAAAGAGTACATAATTCATTTGAATACGCTATAAAAGTCGTTTCATTAAAAACCTTGTCAGGAGAATCCAATGAGACAAAACCTTGGTCAAGAAAAAAGAGTACAATGTATATTTACTCCCCCTCATGATAATATCACTTGAATTATGCTTCAAGCATATTAAATCTTTCAAGGTAACATTAGTAGCCACGCCAGATGCATTGGCTATAATCAAATTCTTAATATGTATATCAAATTTCATGCATTGTCACTTTAATGAAATAGAGACTTGTAATTACATCCACCACATGATAACTTATCTATTTATATAAATCTTCACGACATTTATTATGTAAAAAGTTGTATATTTCATATTAGGACTTTACTTTTTCATTTTCATTTTGCATAAATATACACCTTTTCGTGTTCGGATTATAGATCCAGAAATTTCAGGTTTTTCTAGTAAGTTCAATTTTACTAGGAACACATCCATTTTATTTTGCCAATCATTATTTTGATTTATGACAAAATTGATTTCGATATCCTTGATATTCATAATATAATATAGTACATCACCTGCAAAAATATTGTCGACAATTCTTCTTTTCGATTATATTTCTTTTTCCATAATGACAAAATTTATTGAGATGTCTCAACTTTCAACATATCAGGTAACGAACCTCTTCTGAAATTTTATAATTTGTTATGTCTAAATACTCATCAAAAGTATATGCCTTCTTCATTGGGACCATCTTTGCTAATTGCTTCATCTTCATTTGAATTTTTTTTTTTTATTAGAATCGAATGCTTCCATGCTTCAAGCATAACACAAATATGTCAAATATAATGTTATCAAATTACCCTCTTAGGATATCAATTTGTATTGGAACATTTAAAATTTGTGCGTGAAATATTGTTTTTTTCTTTGATCAATAAATGCATCTAAATAAATTATATTTCTAACTTCTTATTCGAGTGATCTTTTATGAGAATTTAGATGATGATACATTTATACATTATTTTCAACTTCTTAATTCCTCCCTCTAATACTAAGAGAATCATTCAATTAAATTGAGAATAAGCAAATTGTGCTATCAAATATCACCCATTTGAGAAAATGGTTAAAACTCCGTATTTATTTTCAACATTCTTTACTTTCCATCTTAGTGCATTATGGTGGTTTAATTTTACGCTGCACTGTGAAAATAATTAGATGAAAAAAACTAGGCTCTCACCGTAAACTAATTATAACGGGAGAACTATGATTTTGACATGATGAAATAAAAATAGGAATATACTTTGTTCTCAATTAAATTAATTGGAAGCTTTTAACAAACAATTTATCAACATCCCAACAAACACTCATTAAAATGTTGAGATTTATGCCCACTAGCATTAGCAAGACTCAATTTTTTATTGTATAATTTGAAAATTATGTTCATAATTTAAAATTTGAGTAGTAACTTTGCAAACTTTAGGTTGCAAACACTATACAATCATCTAGTATATGTATCAAATCTATTAAATACAAATAATATTTAGATGATCAACGTGAAAGATATGAGGGCCCTTTTATCATCATGATTAATTTTTTGAAATATAGGGAATTCAGTCCCTGTTTTAACTATTGATGATCAATAAAATAATTTCACGAAAGAGAACAAACATCATATAGAATTTCATTGGATTGAAAAATCTTTTGGTTCTTTAATGATTATCCATTTGAATTTTTTTCGGCATCATTGTTGGTCCAGTGATTGTCCAACTGGTCATGCCAAACAATAAAATTGAATTGAACTTTTGGTTCCGTATAAGATATAATACAGTTACTTAATTTTAAAGAATATGATTAAATATTATATAATTATATAATGATCAATGTTCACATGACTTAAGTCGTATGTTTTCCTTTAGGGATAAAAACAAATTCATAAATTATACATGATATATTCTTCAAAATATGTGTTATTTCAAGAGCATGTTGTATTTTATTATCGCTTCTTTAAGAGCAATATCAATATTCATTTAAAATATTGGAATCGTGGTGTTATGCTCTCTAGAAACAATAACATGTTATTATTCAAAATAATAAATTGTATAAAAATTTACTTTTCAAGAATAAAAACATAATTTATGTTAGATCGTATTTAATTATGCTCTTCGGGAAAAAGTAAAGTCTAACTAAAATATCTGTCAATAATAGTGTGCAACTTCAGGAGCAATAATATTCCTTCTAGAATATTAATAATATTGTGCAATATCATGAGTACCAATAAATTATTGTTTAAAAATATTAACTTTTCATGAGTATGTTTTCTAGACAAATATTAATATTTGTAGAATTGTACTTCTTCGGGAGTACTTCGTATTTTACTATTGCTTCTTCAATAGCAATTAATCAAACTTTATATTTTATTATTGCTTCTTCAAAAGTAATAAATCAATATCTTCATTCGAAAATTAAAAAATTGTAATTTATGCTTTTCATGAACAACACATCAACATTTTTCTGAAATATTGAAAATTATAATTCTTGCTCTTTGGGATTAAATAATATATTTTCTGGAATATTAATAGTGTTGTACTCTTCGGGATCAACAACGAATTATTATTTAAAAATACGAACTTTTCAAGAACGTGCTTTCTAATAGAATATAAATATTTCGAGATTAGTGCTTCTTTAGAAGCAATTATCTTCATTTAGAATATTAACAGTGTTGTACTACTTCAGGAGCACCAACAAATTATTTGTAATAAAGAGGCTTTAGAAACTAAAATTATAAACTATAATATGTATTTAAAAAAAATATGAACTTCATAATTAATCGAATGATAAACAAGAAACAAATAATTAAATACATCACATGCAATTTTTTAATGAAAAAATAATCGTCATATTTTTATTTATTTATTTTTTAATTATGGAACAAAAATTATGGAATCAATTGCCTGTTGCACAAATATGAATTTTTGATTTGCCTATTGCATTGAACTTAGCTGGATGGTTCCGCGATGATTAAAGGCGCTATATTTCAACATCCTATACTTCAAATACTTTTCTTTTATTTCTGAAAAATCCCTCTGTAAATTGGATAATTTGGGAGCAAAAGTCTACCCACGAAACTTGAATACAATATACGTACGTGGCAGTCAATTCACCCACTTTCAATCCCCCCCTTTTTTCACAATTTTCAATATATATATATATATATGAGAGAATCAGAAAAAAGAATTCATTTGACGGGGCAAGTTTCATGTATTGGGATTATTGTGCTAATAACGTGTTATAAAACTAAAAGAAAGAAAGAAAATATAGAAAAATCAGTAGACTTGTGTGTATTATCAAGAACCAATACCCTATATTTATATGTCCAAAATAAAAGTTATAATTGAAATAAAATAGATTTTCTAGACTGGATAAAACTTATTTATGTATTATGATAACACTAAATAATCATCAATAATTATCTCATTATTTTACAATATCCTTAATTATGATTTTAGTTAAAAAAATATTGTTAACGTGCTTTAAAACGATGGTCAAATATTTAATCTCATTTTCGCATTATTATTTGTTTTGCTTTTCTAAAAGTACAATAGACAAAAGAGTCTTTTTATTCTATATTAAAGAAAATTTTGGAATGAAACTATAAGCAGGACCGATTTATATTGACTTAAGAATAAGAATTGATTAAAAAAAGTTTGGGATATAAATGTGACAACATGTAAAATTTATGAATTTTTTTATGTAATATAAAAATATGGTGTGTAGTTATTAAAAATTGTGGTTTGGGTATGTTGAGATTCGTCATCTTGACATAATTGATATCCATCCATGCTCATCACTTCAGTAGACATAAACGAGAGGCCAAAAATTGACGAAGATCAACTCCTAACATGGTGGCACTCTCCTCTCTCCAAACTCAACTCCATTCTTCTGCAAATGCCCACCTTGTCCCCTTCTCCTCCTGCAAACCCACCTCGCCATTTTTGCTATACTTCCGTAGAACTCCCAGGAGGCCCCAGGGCTCTAAACCAAATGGAGTTTATGCTTATATGGAAGAAAAGAATTCCATTTCAAGTTTTGCTAATAAGGTCATCGGTTCACTCCCTGTTGTCGGGCTTGTAGCCAGGATTTTTAGTGACGAAGGAGGCGTTGGAGGCGATTTTATTGATTTTGCGGAATTCAGAAGAAAGGTTGGAAAGAAATGCTCCATTAATGATTCTAGAGCTTTCTATGAGTTCAAAGATCGACGTGGCCGGGTACTTCTTCTCTCAATTTTATTTTTTTCCCCCTGATTTTCATTCCTGAAATACCCAAATTTATTCTTAAAACCGGCTTGAAAGGGAGGTTGCCTAGCAGGCTGTAACAAGACTTCACTGGCCCAGTCTTGCAGAAAAGTAGTCCACTCTTGATCGCCCCGACATAAAAAGCATCCCTAGAAGGGTGTCTAAATTCTGTTATAACCTTAAATAGGCAGAACTCGCACTGATAGTGTTGGAATTAATTGAATTTGATTTGGGTTTGATTTGGGTTTAAAATATTAAATGTAATATTTAATGATATGGGTCATTGCAATTAATTTAAGTGAATTGGAAAAGTCTCCAATATAGGCCCATATGTTGATAAGCCCATTTTAAGTGGTTTTTATATGGAAAGGAGTCCCACATCGAAAGTTTACAAGAAAATAGTCTTGTTTATATAGTGGGTTGTGTAAATAATATATAATTTAATATGTTACCTACCACTTGGCTAACTTTAGCTAGCCAAAGGCTAGCAAACTAGCCAAAGGCTAGTCACCACTAGAGTGGTGCTTCGCACCACTAGCACCATTCCCCGGACCCGGACCCGGACCCGGTCCCGGTCCCGGCACGCGCACGTCGCAAAGTACGCATTGGGCGCTTTAGAGGCGCACTTGGCACTTCGCACGTACGCATCGTCGCGAGGAGCTGGGGAGCCTTATAGTTTTCGGAAATGGACTCGTGGTTCGATGACGTGGCAGCACAAGGCTCGATGAGTTGGCATTCTAGGTGGCGCACGAGTGGTAGGTCGCGTCCCTTCGTCCTGCATGGCGGTTAGGTGTACGCATGGCATCCGTATGGCTGTGACTGTTCAGAAATTGGTGAATAGGCATGATGAATGGACACTTCACTTCATGGTTCAATCTGGGCCGTCAGATCATAAAAATAGTGCGATCCAATGGCTAAGACGAATCAGACCAAGTGGTGCACCAATTCCTGAAATGTCACACACCTGTTCCATGAGACACTTCAATCTCTATAAATAGGGACCCCAGATTCGTTTTTTGACACACCAAATCAATTACCAATTGAATTGATTTCTAAATTCTTCTATCTCCATATTCTGCTCATAAAAAATCTCTTATACTTCCGTCGTTATTCCGTTCAAGTACGATCATTCATTACTTCTCATCAAGTTACTATTTTAAAATGTATTTTTACATAAAAATGACAATCAAACACCCCCCTATATATAGAAAATTTTCTTAAAATCATTTTGGTCGGTGCTAATTAGAGCCTCACCCCAAAAAATTGATTTTTTTACTGTTATTCACTATATCAACCGTAATTTTTGACTTCTTCTTTCACAGGTGGACCCCACTTTTCTTTTAACGGTCAAAAATCAATTCTCAAAATTCCTTCCAAAGGGGGCCTTAGTCTATTTCCAACTCATGAAAAGACCACACCCCATTTGCAAACGAAGTTATTAAAATTAGATTTTCAATCAATTTTTATAAAAGTTGATGAAATATACAATTTAAAAATTGTAAATTTTATGAAATATATGATGAAAATAAACTTTTATACTTTGACATGAATTAAAATGTCTATTTTAATTGGAATCTGCTATAATGATAGTGCCAAATAACAGGCCCTGTCAACAGGCCGAGGTGGCTGTCATTTGACAAGACCTGCTATAGTGACTCTAAATGGCAAAACCCATTTTAATTTTCGCTAAACGGGGCTATATAACCATAAGCTTATAAGAATTTCCTTCACACAAACCAAAGAAAATGTCTCTTCTTTCTTCTTACAATCCCAAACCACACGTGGTTCTGTTTCCATTCATGTCCAAAGGGCATACTCTACCCCTCCTCCAACTTGCTCGCCTCCTCCTCTATCGCGGCTGCGCGGTAACCCTCTTCACAACCCTGGAAAATCGTCCGTACATCGTTCAATCTCTTTCCGGCGATGATATTACCATCATAGACCTTCCATTTCCGGGAAACATTCCCGGAATACCTCCTGAAATTGAGAGCACGGACAAACTCCCGTCCATGTCTCTCTTCTTCTCCTTTGCCAAAGCCACGAAACTCATGCAGCCCTATTTTGAAGGTGCGCTGCAAAAAATTCCTCACGTCACCTGTATCGTATCAGATCTGTTCCTCCATTGGACGGTGGAATCCGCCATAAAATTTGGCATTCAACAGCTGGGATTCGATGGTATGAGCAACTACGTCAATTCAATTAACAGAGAAGCAGTTATTAATGGATTACTATCATTACACGAGTCCGCCGACGAACCTTTCACTCTCAGCAGCTTTCCATGGATTAAGCTCACCAGGAATGACTTTGACTACCCGTTTAATCAACGGTACCCGTCAGGTCCTCTATTCGATTTCATAATGGAGATGGGCACAGCCCTCTCCCAAAGCTATGGCCTACTGGTTAACAGTTTCTACGAGCTCGAGCCACTGTACGTGGAGTACTGGAACTGTGAGTCTAAACCAAAAGCATTCTGTGTCGGCCCCTTGTGCATGGCCCGACCACCAAAAATGGAGCCGGTATTGCACCAGGAATGTACATGGATTAAATGGCTGGATCAAAAACTGGCAAAGAAAAAACCAGTTCTGTACGTTGCATTCGGGTCCCAAGCAGAAATATCATCGACACAATTAACAGAAATCGCTCGTGGCCTGGAAGAATCGAAAGTGAGCTTCTTGTGGGTGGTGAGAAAGAGTGGAAGAGAATTAGGTGACGAATTTGAAGACAGGATAAAGGAAAGAGGAATCATAGTAAAAGAATGGGTTGATCAGAAACGGATTCTTGAACACGAAATCGTGCAGGGATTTCTGAGTCATTGCGGCTGGAACTCGGTGTTGGAGAGCATAAGCGCAGAAGTTCCGATACTGGCATGGCCAATGATGGCGGAGCAACCCCTGAATGCAAAAATGGTTGTGGAAGAGATTAAAATCGGGTTACGGGTCGAAACAGTTAATGGGTCGGGAAACAAATTTGTGCAGGCGGAGAGCTTGAAGAATAAAGTGAAAGAACTTATGGAAGGAGAAAAAGGAGAAGAGGTGAGGAAGAAGGTGAAGCAAGTAGCCGAAGCAGCAAGGAACTCCATGATGGAGGGAGGCTCGTCTTGGCATACACTAAACCAACTCATTAAAGAGATTTATTTGCAAAATCAGCCAGAAAAGTAAAGAAAAGTTACTTCTAAATAAAATTTAGTTTTCATAAATAATCGAGTAATTTAATTTTGTTCATAGTTTGAGTGAAGTAGTCACCTTGCTGCAAAATTATACCAGTGGAGAGTAATAGGAGTAAAGATGTTGTGGCATGTTTGGCCTAATTATAAAGTTTGCTTTAAGAAGTATGTTTTTGCACCATGCTACATGTACATATTTCTTTCATAGAACGGTTCCATAAATAATAACACATGGAAAAAAATCATCGACGAAAAAAAAGAAAAGAAAAGAATGATGTGCTGCTGTGTAGGAAACCTGTAAAACTTTCCTCGTACTTAGGAATAATTCTTAATTCATAGTCTACAAATAATCGGTTTCCTTTTATTTTGACTTGTGCCCACAAATTTTGAGGACATCGAACTATCAGGGGGCTGAACCAATGGAGCCTAGATCGGCAGTGTGGAAGGATTTCTTATTTGTAGTCAAATGATCTGCTCGATTAGTTCTTTAAGTTGTTCAAGTCCCTGTTTGACCCTATTTTTTGAAATGAAAATAGCTAGAATAATGTCTTTTTGAAAAGTAAATGGTTGAAAAAGAATAAAAAGTTTTCAACTTACACGTAATATTATTTTATGAAAGATTGTGTCATTGAAATAGGAAAGAGAAAAATAAAATGTAATTTAGCCTTCGTCTGGCCCTCATTAATTTTCATTCCATTATATTCTACTTTTCTCTCTTCTATTTTTAACCACATAATCTTTCATAAAATAATATTATACGTAAATCGAAAATCTTTCCTTCTTTTTCAACCCTCATTTTTCAAAAAAAAAAAAAACTATTCCATCATTTTTAATTCGAAAAAATGGGAGTCAAACGGGAGGTAAGAGAGTGAGTCGTGGTGGAACCGATTTGATACCTCAATTAATTGATGAGCACACTTTATTGACTTAATCACTTGGTGCACTAATTCATCCACGCCTAGCAAAATGTATCCACACAAGAAGCTGGTGAGTCATTAAATGAGATATTTAAGCGGGTTCAGTGAAGAACCCATCAATATCAAGAACGTGTCACATGAGAAGGTCCTTCACGCTTTAGGGTCAAGGTTTCACATGGAAATTCCTTTCTAAAGAGGTGTCGGTTACGTACTGAAATAATTATTCTCCACTTAGGCCCCATGGCATGCCCAAGTATCGTTGAACATTCGTACCTCAATCATCGAGGTACAATTGAATGAAAACTACGTCGATGACTAAAACTCCATTAAGCAACAAAATGGGCAAAATCCTAAAACTCGGCTAGAAACATGTTGGAAGCTTCATCCAGCAAAAGGACATAATTTTTTCTGAATTTTCTCTCAACATGTGTGTAATCCAATCACTCGAAGATCCTTTATGTGACTTATATATATTTGTGTATTTCCATTATTTTATATATAAAGAGATTCCAATTGGGCAAAGGGGGACTTATCTTTTATAAAATTATATTTGTGACATTCAAGTTTTATGTTAAGTCTGAAAATTTGGATTTCAAATTATAAGCCTCCCTCTTTAAATAAATTAAAAAATAACTAAAGGATTAATTATTATACGTTTGATAGTTATATTCACACCATATTTTAATTGCATTAAATTAACTTTTATGTATTATCACACGTATATAATTATTTTCTTTCTACATCACATTCTTATTTATAACATTCCATTAATCAGAATATCTTGTTCTTTGTTATAAAACTAAATAGAAAGAAAGAAAATATAGAGAAATCAATAGATTTGTGCATATTATTAAGAACTAATACCCTATATTTATAGAATCCAAAATAAGAGT